TAAAATTCACTCATGCAAACAACTTGGCACTAACTCTCTTCCACATGTAATTGAAACCAGCTGAGGAATTGTGTCTCTAAAAAGGGGTATGTCAAAGAGTAAACACAAACTTAAACACAGCAATATGAATTCAACAGTTATGTATACAGAATACTTGTCTTTGTGTTCACTCACCAATTCAGTACAAAGCATATATCAAATTGATTTGGTTTTCTTTCTTTTTTACTTTCATTTTAGCTAAATTTCATGCTGGAAGTTACATGGTGTGCTAAAGCATCAGGCTTTTGTATTTGGAGGTCTGGGTTCAAATCCACTCGATTAATTTGTCCCCTCGATGTGGTCATTTGCACGTCTCCAAATCACCGTGTAACTTGACTTGGTTATACCTTGTGCCTGAGGGACTAAAAATACCATGAGTGTCTTGCTCCTGGACTGAGGTGCATTGCTAAATTTGAAGTACTCTCAAGAAAGTGTCTTGATTCATGACTCAATCACACTTATATATATATATATATATATATATAAAATATATATATAGTGTATATATAATATATATATATATATATATATAACCTGAGAAGCCCATGGAAAAGAAATTTAAAAAAGATGAGACTGAAGGGCTGCCTGGCTTGTGCCACAATGTTTAATGGTCATTTTTACAGCAAGGAAACCTGTCAACATATAAAGGTCACTAGCCAGAAGTTTAAGGAAATAAGATAAACTTATCTAGGTGTGAGCATTTAAATATGTGTATAAATCCATGGATATAAAAAGATGTACTGGAAGAAAAAATACCAGTGTTTCAATACGTAGATTCATCTAATTCTACATGCTAAACAAAGCTTCACAGAAATTGCTAATAAATTGCAAGTATGCTCAGGCAGAATAAAAACAAGCAAAGGGAAGGGTTTCTTGGATTAATGCGGGAACAGCTGCATCTCCAGTTTAGTCTCCTGGCTGGTATGAATAATGTATGGACTAAGAGGCAAAATGCACATTAATGTTCTTTTATTAATGAAACGAATATATATCGATATTTGGTGGCCAGCAGTAAATTAAGACAAGTGAAAAGAATAACAGTCACTGCTCACTTTCATAAAATTCAGTTACTTTAATCCAGTAATTACTGATCTGACAGAAAATATCAGCCCACAGCTAAAATAAGGCTCTTCCCATTGCAAATCCACCACATATATCAAAGTGGTTGTAGTTTTTGAAAATCTGTTCATAAATACACAGTGCAGTGTTTTCCAAGATAAAAAGTAGATTTGCATGGCTCATGAGTCCTGTAACTTCAAGTGGTAGAAATCAGGATGAAGACACTCTTTAAGGAAAAATCCTGGAAAAATGCTAACTGTGCCTTAATATGTCAATGACAGAAACAATGATTTCAAAATAATGCTCTGTTACTACAAATTAGATGCATTTCCAAGAATGGCTTGGTAACCATTTGGTGCTGGGTGTCAGGATTACTAAATGTTGATGCAAAATACATTAGTTCTTAATGAAGTACTTCAGACCCATCACCACCAAATTATTAGAGGCAATCCACTTATCTTCTGCTGGATAAGAAGCTCTACATTTTCTCATATGGATTGCAGGAGGGCAGCTGCATATCTTAAATAAGAATGCTGTCTTTAAATTTTTGTTGCCATTACTCTCATATAGTGCTCAAAGTTCTCAGTCTCTAACCTAGAGCCGGGAAAAATAAAATGTCAAAATGTGATAATGAAAATCTGGGATTTGCAGATTGCCTGTGCAGCATAAGTGCACTTCAGATCCTCCTATTATTTATTGAAAGAGTACCTTGAAGTAGAAATGCCCTGGAAATCCATAATGGACTGGTTCATGCACCGGTAAACCACCCAGATGAACAGCAGGTGAAAGAACACATCTGTTAAACCAAGGCAATGAGTACAAGAGCCTTTGTTACAAAAACACCAATGATAATGAAAAAGCTGATTTTTGGAGTATGTCCATGTGCACAAGAAAGTACAGTAGGTGAAAATCACCTTTACAAAACACATGCAGTCAATACTCTCATGTATCTATCTTACCATCTTCTCTGTGTTCCAAAGGATGGATCTATCATATTTTGAAATTCTTTCGAGGTAGAAAATAACCATGACATCATTAAATGAAAAATAGCATTTTTGCAGAATGCAGAGACACAATATCATCAGCAGTGTATTACACACTGGAAGTGTCAAATGTCATTGGCACATTGGGCAAAATGAGCCTTTTCTTGCAAGTGCTACAGGGCCTGAGCACTCTGTGGCCAGAAGTGCCCCATTTCATAGTTTTGACATGGTAAACACCAAACATTAGAATATGACCTGTGTATTTTTGCTCTCACTAGATAAATACTGACCTCTTTGACTCTCTGTGGCTTTGTAACTTTTTATTCAATAAAATCTTTGAGTGAGAAAGGCTCTGGATGTCTCTCAGGCCAGGAGAATAACCACAAAAATGCCCCAGACTCTAGAAATATGTCTTTACAAAGACTGATTAGATCAAATCCAGGGCAAAAACTGGATAAAAATGTAAAGAAAGTAACAAAATATCTCAGGAAGTTTCTGAAGGGTTAGGAAGCCAGAAATATTTGGCCCTACAAACTACAGCAGCATAAGGTGCTGGTTTAGGTGAGACCGTCATGGGGTTTTTGCTTAATATCTTTTATTATTGAGGGAGTGCTTTTATGTATATTTAAACAAATAGATTTAAATAAGAGTCTCTAAAGCTTTTCCAACAATCATAGAAATATAATATCTTAGGGTTTATTTCTACAGACATCTTTGAAAAGATGTTCTGGTACCTACTTATCTATGTTCTTTATAAAAAGCAATATCCTAAAACCCCAATTTTCTTATACATTCCCTTATGTGTCAGTTATTTAAATTTAAATACCTTCAGGTTTTGCATATACATTTGCCATTCCCATATAGTAGGTTTTAAAAATAAATTCTCGATTTAATACAAGTATTTTTATGTATTCAACAAGAAATGTTTAAATTTCTCAGGGGAGAGTATCTGTTACCAGAGGATGATGTGATGTGGTTTAAACTTTAAATAAATGCTTATTTCCTGTAAGCATAAAAAAATATCCTTTAAATGGAAATCTGTATTTTATAGAGCGGTAATATATGCCATTCTTTTCAATTTTCACACAAAATTATATACTGTAAGCAGTATATTCACTGCGTGTAAAAGATCTAGGTATTCTTCTGTTTCACATTAAAAATAATCAAAAACTGAATTGGTTCAAGGCTAAGAAACATAGAAGGGATTGAAAATACCAATTAGAGCTCTTAACCAAAAGATAGCAGTAAACAAAAAAAAAAAAATGGCAGATGCAAAGTGTTGGATTTTGTAGAAATTATTATTTAAAATATAGGAATTAACTTATCAAAATGGATCACTTTACCCTTTTAAAGTAGTGCTATATGGTTTCTAGACACAAAAAAAATCATTCAGCAATATAGCCTAACTAAATCCATTTGCTATTATAATTCTGTACTCCTGTCCATCTTTCTGTCTCTGTTACATCATTATTGAATGCTGGTTGCATTATTTGAAAGCCTGGATTGCTATAATGCTATTCTGCACCAGTATGATGGATTTAGTTTTCATTTTAGTCTCAACAATATGTTGGCTATAAATACATCTCTGCTCTCCTGTGAGGCTCACACTGTAACTGGTAAATTTTCTAGAGAAATCAGTCATGCATATCTTAAGAGAACACAATAAATTCTTTGAAGCAGAATAACCTTTTGGCTGCATTCCTTTAAATAGACCTTTTCATTATAGGGACAAATTTTTCAAGCCTTATGAGTGAAGCCTATTTAGTTCTCAAAGATATCTTTTTCCAGTACCATGATCGCATACTTAGTTGCATTTTGTAAGTCATTTTACTGGTCACCTGCTTTTTCCCATTTTGCTTTTTCCAAAACAGTCATGGGTTGGGATTTAAGGGGGCAGCCCTGCTTCAGAAGCAGCTAACCATATGCCAAAGTGCTCTTGCTGAATCAAGGCCATCCTGTTGAATTTATAATTTTACAGTGATTTCAGGGACTGTAGTCTAAAATCTCATAATCAAGAAGAGAGCAAAACCCAGTACTGTGCTTGAAGCTGATAGTCAGACTAGGGCTACCCTTACTTGGGTTGAAGTTTCACCTCGTAAATGTGCCAGAAAAGCAGAAGAAAGAATGTGGCTGGAAGTTACAGCCATCTTATTAAGAATTGCTTTCTCAATAATGGCAGAATGATCAAAAATTAATACCCATCAAGTAAATATTGCTCTTTCCCATTCCTGGATACCTTAGCTAGACATGGATAAAATTAGCAGAGTATTGAATTCAGTAGACCTTGGTTAACGGGAAGAGACAATGTGGTCAGGCTGAACAGGTCTTTCCGTCAGAGCTCTTCAGCGTTCTCCCTAAGAACATCCATTGAGCGGCATGATGTGTCAAGGAGCTGGGCTAGCTCCCTTTGGTGTTTGTTTTTCTCTCTTGTCTGACAACTTCATCACAATCCATCTTTGTTAGCTGATTGCACTGACTTGAACACGGGTGAGTGTGTATCAGCCTTCATTAGGTCAAATCAAAGACAAGTGTACATCTCTGCCTTGCCTGTAGAAACAGATTTATACTTCGAGAAGGATGGGGGGAAGGTCACTTGGTATTTGGCTTGAAATTTGATCCTGTTAAAGGATGAAATTAATAACATCCAGAAGTAGAACATATGGCATCCATATATATGGCACTGTATCTGCTTGATGATGTCATGCTACCTCTTAAGGTTTGGGAAATGCACTTTTTAAAGTGTTTAGCTATGTTGTGGGCTCAACCTTTCAGACCTGACTGAGACAGAGCAGGCTTAATTTGGTCTGAACATTTATTATCCCTGGTATTTGCAGGCCACATAAAACCTCATGGTTTTCATTACCTTTGCGTTTCACACACAGCCTAATTTCATTTATTCTTATTTTATGCCCCTGCCAGACCACCGCTCTTGATAAGGAGAGGCAGGTTTTCCGACGAAGACGCAACCAGGATGTGAGGGGACGTTATAAGGCTCAGCAAGCTCCACCCGAACTCAACTCCGAATCGGAAGACTATTCACCAAGCTCCTCCGAGACTGTTCGCTCACCTAACTCACCCTTTTAATAAAACACTTTTTCTCAAAAGCCTTGGCTTTAACCCTTTGAGACCCTGAAACTACTTCAGGCCTGTGTGGAGTGAATACAGCTGATCTACCCAGCAATAAAAGCTGGGATGGTGGAACACAAAAGGGTGCTCACAGAATCTTTGTAAGAATAATTTCCTAATTGATTGAAATACTTGTTCTCTGTTTAGATTGCAACTTGCTGCTAATAAGATCCTCAAAGGGTTAAGGCTATTTTGCTTTTTTATTTAAAGATAGAAGCAGTGAATGTTTTCATCAGTGGAGCTAGGAACTGCAGTATGTAATTTTAGCACATGTTAACCCTCTGAGTAAATGATTACCTTAAATCTTGACAACCCATATTAGGGTTTTATTCTGGCTTTTTTGCTTTTATACGCACATATCTTTTATAGTATCCTGAAGTTCCTTGCCTGTTTCTGGCCAAAAATATATCAAATGTACTATTGCTTAGGAATTATAAATATAGGCTTAAAAATGAAAATAAAATTAAACAAATGGTATCTTCTGCAGCAGCTCATTCCAAACCTGCATTGTATTTCCACACGGAGTGACTGTCATTGGAGGATATGATGCAGGGCTAAATGGGAAATTCAGTTTAGGTCATTCTCATGGTTTACAGAAGATGACATGATGATGGCCACAAAAGATTGCTTCCATATAGTTTGCTGCTAATGATAATGTTGAGTTTTGGGAAATTGCTTGAGGACACGTTCTGCCATGTAATAGTATGTAATGATCTAGTTGAGAAGCTCCTGGTTCCTTTGCATCACATTCAGGAATGCACGGGCATCCTCTCAGCATGACCTGGTTATTCTGGCAGAGCCATTTAAAAATATTAACACTGATGAGCATTACCCTTTAAATAGCTAGAGTACTTCTAAATCGGAGAAAATACAAGTCATTTAATATCTATGTAAAACCTAAACAGAATCAGCAGAAGTTTTGTCTTTAGAATGGAGAAACTAAAAATGATTCACCAGTTTTATTTGTAATATTTAATAAAATGGGCATTTACACAGAGTATATATATATATTACTGGTTTGTTAAAACCTCAAGACAATATTATAGCTTTTTATTTGACCATTATCATAAAGTTGGCTTCCACAGAAATATTACAGTGTGTAGACTTTTGCTTCAGATGTGGTAATTGGAAAAAAAAGAAAAAAGATGGCTCAGAATTTCACTTGAATGAAAGAAAGAACTTTCAAAATCATGTTCTAAAATAAAAGACGTGTGAAATTTATAGTTTCTCTTATTGCTCATATAAAATGGAAGTTTTCTCCTCTAAAGTTAAAGTTTTCTCACAGTGTTTTTTAAAATTCACATGGTTTCCTCTCTCTCTTTCTCTCTCTTTCTCTCTCTCCTCCTCAACCTTGGCCTTTATCTTACCTTTATTCTTTCTTCCTTCCTTTTTCTTTCCTGTTATACAGCCAGAAGTATCAATATACCACCCAAAATGACACGCAGATATTCTCAGCTTTCTGGGAAGTATAAATACATTTTTCAGGAGCAGGGCAAGTTGCCCACAGTATCACTCCCATTCTGAGTGGTGTTTGTTCACGGAACTGTCCGTATGAGCAGTTGTGGCAGCCAATGTATACCTGCAGCTGGTGGGGGCTAGTGTAAAGCTCTTTGCACTTCTAGGTGGAAGTATCAGTTGAACTGTAGTTCAAGAAACATTGGAATTCTGTTTCCCCATCCTATGGAGTGCATCTTTCATTGCCTCAGACATGAAAAATTATATATTGAAAGCTCTGAAGACTTTAAACACAGGAATTTAATCTTGTGGATCTTCACACAAGTGGTATAAGTATTTCTTTTTTTTTTTTTTTTTTTTTAATCTACCTGATATTGATGGTCTAGAAGTGAGGTATTTAGTAGAAACTAATTCTCCAGATTTCCTGGGTAATACAGAGAGATAAGAATTCCGGGTTTGATTCATCTCACCTGACATGGGCACACATTTTAGGCGGGACTCATGTTTTCATGTTTTGATTAGCCTATTGGTCTCACTCCATCGACTATAGAAGTCGATGGTAGAAGTTTACATCTGGTAGAAGTTTACATCAGACACCAACTTCAGATTATGAGTTTACTAGAACCTCATCTAAGCCATAAGGAGACTGATCTCTGAATGCATGTCTGTGGACAGAAGGCCTGTGTAAGGCCTGAGTTACTCTGTCTGGAACCTGAGTAACAACATTTTAAAGCAAGTGAAGCAAATAAGAGAACTCCATTGGGGCAGGAGTTGAAGGGACAAAGGAACTACCATACAAAAGTTCTCAGATTTTAGGTTTTGGGAAAGGGTTGTGTCTGTGTGTCAGATCCTTCACTATAACCATCCAACCCTCAACTCATTGTAGAGAGAAGTTGCTCAGTAGATAGGGAGCAACCACTGTCATCTTAATGGTTGTACATTCGTAACTTTTGGATAGGACAAGGATTTTATTTTTCCATAGGATCAAAACCTCAGTCAAGATAAAGCCTTCCTTGCCACTTACCTACCCTAATTTACAGTAGGTCAGAATCTGGCACAAGTTTGACCAGCACTGACCTTCCCACATTTTATCACAGTCTTCCCTTTAGAAGAGATACAGCTCAGCCATGTAAATGTAAGACATACATGTGGTAATAAAAAGTGTCCATTAATACCACATGCTCCTTGACTATTGTGAAAATTTGGCAGTCTTAAACCAAAGGCCAATGTTCATTCTTCTTAATTAGAGAGGGAAGTCAGAAGAAAAAAATATGTTTCACCTTATGCATGAGAAATATTGTTCAAAAACCCATCTGGGATTTTCCAATCACATTTTCTTTGCTTTGGAATACAGGGTTATCATTAAAATAAGATGTTTGGCTCCTTCATCTTAGACCATCTTGTATTACTTAAAATGTGTGTAAAAATAATCTTAGATCCTGAAAATCCTACTCATCCCCAACATCTTATGTTTCTGATTGTTGGTTCATGTTTTATGAACATAACTATAAAAATATTTCTTTAAGTTATTTTTAGGTTTGTGAGGGACTGGGTTTCAAATTGCTGATATCCTATATTAGGTTTCAAGGAAAGATATCTGAATATTTGAACTGTTTCAAAAGTGTTTACAATGATGTTTTAAAATCTATCCATATACCCATAGATATATATTTTAATATATCCATATATATGTATATATATTTATGGTTTCATGGAAGTTATAATGGTTTAGGCTTGTTTGGCAGTGACTGCCATTTTTTTTAGTCTAATCTCTGAATTCTTGGGGGTAAGTGAAGACAGAATATGTGGCCCTATAAATATTTCAAACAGCAATGGAAAAAAGAAATCAAGCATAATAGACTATTTCTAATGTGAAAATCTGGGAGAGCATAGCATGGTCATTTTACTGTAATACAGACCAGTCCTTCTGATTTCTTTCCTCATTTCCCTTTTGAATCATTGGCTGGTATTGCTGCTAAATGTGACAACAATTGTTTTATTTAGCAGAGATGGATGGCAGTTGTGGTAGGCACCATCTATCACCGAGGAGATGGAGACGAGCACTTCCGAAGGGTGACTCAGGTCATCTAATGTTTGCTCTCTGGAGATGCCTGACAGCCTGATCTTAGTATTAGCAGGAAAGTAGAACAGGGTCACTTCCAGCTTAAGTCCTCTCAAATATAAACAGGGATAACGTGGACTCTAACCAAAGTGGGATATTCTAGTGAGCTTACATGCAGTGAGCAAACTTTGATGTGAAAATGAAAATGTAGTATGGGCTAGTGCAGGATTAGCTAAAAGGTAGTGAGCTGGGAATTGTCTCATCTAGGTGTATCTGTCTAAGAGTTAAGCATCTAATATAGGGCAGTAATCCAATCTTCCCATACAGGTGCTAGAGACTGGTTTCTCTAACAGATAATTAAAATTCTAGGATGGATTAATCACTCATGAGATGAGGTGCCTAGCCCAAACATATTTAGAATATGATTTATTAAGTCATGACATATAAATTAGTATTTCGCTGAGTTATAATTTTCACAGCATTAATGTACAAAAAATCCAGAATACTATGGTTCTACTCAGAGGGTTAACAGAAAAGCACTAGGCATGCTGATTACATTGGTGTATCCAAACTGCTTTGCTTTTTTAGCCAGTGTTTGCTGATTTTTTCAGAAAATTCTTGAAAAAAAATCAAGTTTGAAATAATTTAAGTGTTGTTGTTTAAGGAATTTCTATAACCAAATTAATCTTATTTTTAGCTCAAGTTATCACAGGAATAATATGTATCATTGATGCAGTGTAAGTCTGTAGTTACCAATTTTATTAATTCCACAAGTGATTCCAGAAATCTCTCTTTTTTAAGTACTTATTATAGAGCTTACAATGGTGGCATAGGTGACTGAGACTGTCTTTCTTATTGGTAAACAAACAATATTGTAATTTCAAGAAAGTCCTAAGAATCAGCTTTTCAGTTTGGTAGTGTACTAGTTAGGGGAAAGCTATTTCATTACATGCATTGTGTAAATCATCTTTGTAGATGAAGATTGTTCATATTAATGAACACATTCTTTTTTCCTTGACATTGTAGCAGAAACTGTTTACTTGTTAATGAACAACCAATACATTAATTTGCTTCAGACTGTTAGAGGGGAAAGTGAGATTCCAGTCATTGACAATGTTATTGCTTTACAGTAGCCCTCATCTAATTAAATGTGGTGCATACTACAATAAGCAAAGCCAAACCTGTGAATAAACTCCTGAAAAAGCCTGGTGGGTCTTTATTCAGTTGGGTGCTCGCACACAGTAGCATGTGACAGCAGGAAGGCTTTCAAGAATTGTTGAAATGAAAGCGATATATCCACAAATAAGAGCTAAATTGCAATCCTTTCCCTATGGGGCATATATGTTTGAAAAGAAAAAATAAAGAAAAGAAAAGAAAAATTGGCTCAGAGGTTTGCAGTGGTACTATATTACCACAGGGCAAGTACATTAAATCATTGTTATTTGCTAGCCTGGGGTATATGTTGGAAAATGGCATCGTTTTTATTTAGTTTAGATTGTGGGCAGGGAGAGCTTTCCTAATATTATTGCAGTGCCTGCTAGTGCTGCCATGGTTAAGGCTGTGTTAGTATTTCCATTATAAACTCTTAGTCTCAAAGGTTTTTAATTTGATTGTAAAAATTTGCTTCAGGCAGAAACTTGGCATACAATTTTTCAGCTCAGAGCGGTTCTTTTCCTAAAATATGAGGGAAATCAGCTTGACCTCTTCAACATTTATTTTCTAAGTGTACACAAACATTTGTGGACACAAAGGCGGTTTTTATGCAGCTCATTTCAGATGTGTCACGTTCTCAAGCATATCTCACAGGTCTTAACTACAAAGGTGACAGCTCAGAACTTTTGGGCATTTTGAAAACCAGGAGGAAAACTCAGTGATCAAGAGCAAAAATGTTCCACATGTGGAAGAGTTTTATTTTGACGTGACAATCATTTAAAGTTTGCACAGTAACGGGTATGTATACGCCCTGCTGAGTGCTCATGTAATTCCTAAACCCATTAATTTAAGTCATTCCATGTAGAAAATGCTAAATATGAATGTATTGGATTTCCCTGTAAGACTGGGAAACAAAGCAGTTTTTTCTTGTGTTTTATAGTAGCACCATGGACAAAGCTGACAATACACCAGTGAAAGGGGTCTGGGAAGAGAAGAATCAAAAGGACATGTTTTCTCTTAAGGGGAAAAAAATTGTCTGAAAAATACAGAGTTGAAAGCTCACACTGAATAAGATAGGTATCAAAAGCAATTTAAAAAGCATAAGTATGGGACCATTTGAAAACTATAAAAGTGCAAGGGAGCCATGCAGTGTAGTGAATCCATGCGTGGAACCAATCACCTACTAATCTGGAGCAAATTTACAGCTACAAACAGGCATAATTAATACACAAATCAAACACACCCAGCAGCAGATGGAATTGAAATCCTAGTCCTTTTAGCAAACATAATGCAAACCTTTTCCTCATATATTCACTAAATGAGGCCGTCTGTAGCTGTTTGAAGTAGTGTTGCATACAGGCTAGTGGGAAATTAGGTGTTTAAAAAATGGCTGCAAATTAAGCGTTTTTAATAGCAATTCTACCTCACTGGGACCTTTTAGGAAATGACAGCTTTTAAAAAGTGATGTCTATGCATTTTGTATTTGTGTGCATATATACTTGGATAGCCCATGCCAAACAGCTTCAGTAAGAATTGAGTTGCTATACTGAGG